GGTGCGGGCCGAGGGAGCCGCAGCCGCCAGCCCGGAGCCGCGGTGGGGAGAAACGGGCGCTCCGTCCCCGGAAAACGAGCGGTGCGATGGCGGGGCGCCGAGGAGGGGTGTCCGGGGCTGCCCGGGGAGGCGGAGGGGTGGTTGTTATTCACGGCTCTGGTATGCGCCCGCCGCACCGCCCCCGGCTGCCGCGGCCCGGCCGGAGGGGAGAGGGAACTGCCCCCTGCTCCTCACTGGGAAGCGCTGCCTGGAACCGGAGCGCGGGGATGGGGGGAACGGGATGGGGAGCGGGGGGACCCGCGGTGCGCGGCCGTCCTGCGCGGGGCCGGATTCGTGCGCGCACCCATCCTGCGCGGGGCCGATCCGTGCACGCACCCCACGGAGCAGCCCAAAGGGGACCTACTAATGCCACCGGGCCCCGGCCCCAACCCCGGTGGTGGCTTCTCCGTGCAGGCTAGGGCCCTCTGCGCGCACCCTTTTGCAGGAGCGTGGCTCACCCCTCTCCCCCGCTAAGAAAATAATAAAATAGTTGCGCGGCGTTTCGGTGCCCATCACCCTCTCCCCTCCTGCCCCGCAGCAGCACGGAGCCGAGACAAAGGGGTTTGGCTGCCAGCTCCTCGCTGAGTTAACTGCTTCCGCGGTGGGACCCGCGCAGCACAGCCTGCACGCTGCTCTGCGGCCGCCGCGCCAGGCCAACAAGGAGTTAGCTCTGCCCTCGGCACGTAAAGACTTCCAGCGGCACCCCCCCCTGCGGCTGGTTGGAGGGCTGAGGGGCCCAGAGTTGATGCTTTGAGGGGAGAAGGGCTGAGGATGGGAGAGAGGGTGGTGGTGATCCGCGTTAGGAGAGGTGCGGTGAGGTCTGAATGCGGAGCGCGGAACACGGAGTTCACAGCTTTCATCTCCAAACAGAAGGGATGCAGGATGCCTAGAACAGAGGCGGGGGGACATTTTGTCAAGGAGCTGGAGTGGGAAGGAAATAGTTTAAGATCATGGAGGTAGCCAGAAGCTATTGGCATAGCCGTGCCTTGCTCAGAGTGGGGAATATTTCAAATATTCCCCATTACTGCAGATAATCGCAGGGCTGATTCCTGTTAGCGTTTGGCAAGCACACACAGATCCCCTGCTGGCTACTCTCACGGCCACCCTCATGTCCCCTGTCTGTCCTTAGGAGGAAGGATGGGGCCGCTGCTGTGCTGCCTGGGCATCGCCGTGCTGCTGTGCCGCGGGCTGGCCTGCCCCGGGCCCTGCTCCTGCTCCACCAAGAAGAACGGGCGCCTGCTGGCCGAATGCGCTTACAAGGAGCTGCCCGAGGTGCCGCAGGGACTGTCCCCTAACGTCACCATCCTGACACTGTCGGCCAACCGCATCGGCTGGCTGCGGCGCGGTGCCTTCGCCGAGGTGCCCGAGGTGCAGTCGCTGTGGCTGGGTTACAACCAGATCGGCGGTGCCGAGCCGGGTGCCTTCGCCATGCTGTCACAGCTGAAGAACTTGGACCTGAGCCACAACAAGATGGTCACCTTCCCATGGCAGGACCTGCGCAACCTGAGTGGGCTGCAGATCCTCAAGCTGAACAACAACCGGCTGGCTGGGCTGCCCCGAGATGCCTTCCAGGCGCTGGCAGAGCTGCGCTCGCTGTGGCTCAATGACAACCAGCTCACCACGCTGGCCGATGGCACCTTCCACCCGTTGCCCTCGCTGTCGCAGCTGCAGCTCTTCAACAACCCCTTCAACTGCTCCTGTAAGCTCTTCTGGCTCAAACGCTGGGCTGAGAGCACCTCGGTGTCCCTCACCAAGGGTGGTTCCACGCTGTGTGCGGCGCCGGGGAGGATGCGGGGCCGGGCGGTGACCGACATCCCGGCGCATCAGTGCGTGGCCCCATCAGTGCAGCTCACCTACCTGTCCAAACTGGACAACACGGTGCTGCCTGATGGGCTGACACTCAGCCTACACTGCAGCGTGGCGGGCAGCCCCCTGCCCCAGATCCGTTGGAGGATCCAGACCCCCGGGCGCGGTGTTGAGATCGATGGGCCCAATGTGGCTCGGGATGGGAGCCTCTCCCCATCTGGGCGCATCAAGCAGAGCCAGGAGCGCTTCTTGGTCTTCAAGAATGGCACCATGGCCATCCCCAAGTTCAGCAAGGAGGATGAAGGCACCTACACCTGCATCGCCATCAACGATGTGGGCACAAGAGAGGTGTCAGTCAACGTGGCCTTGGCCGGCTCGGAGAATCCAGCTGAAGACCTGCTACAGGATGACCCCCATGCCAGCTCACTGGGGGGACGGAGCTGCTACAAGGGTGATGAGATGGATCCCGTCGGCACTGGGGAGAAGCTGGTCATCGTTTACCACGTGCCAAGGGAGGTGAAGGGCACGGCTGGAGGAGCTGTGCCTCGGGTTGGGCTGGGGACCCTGCTGCTGGCCTTGGGCATCGTGCTGGGCTGGTAAGGGGGAGCAGAGACTGGTGCCAGTGCTCCCCCACTTTCTGTATCATTTACCTTCACATAGTGCCACGTGTTTGCTGAGCTTTTGGAACTGCAGGCGGGCGCCAAAGTGGCCGAGAGCTGAGCCCAGGGCTGGTCCAACCCCTGCATATGTAGGGGCAGGGCTGGAGCTGAGAACTCCATCAAGGCTTGGGTGATGTAGGGTAGATCCACACTGTGCTGTTGCTGCAGGGCCAGACAGCCTTACGTATGGTCCTTTAGGGAATGGAGGCAGCACAGTTCTTCTTCGTGTGATTGATATGGCAGGGGACATGCAGAGCACCCAGTACCAGGCATGGATCAGGCCATGAGGAGCAGGCTAAGCCTTTCCTGCATAGGACTTGTTGGGTGAGGGACTACCCATGGTGTCTGTGCCCTCCCTGCGTCCCAGGACCAGGCCCTGCCACCCTCACTGCCTCACACATCTGTGAAGCAGATGTTTTCCCCTCTATTCACCACCGGAGCACACAGTCCAAACCCCTCGGCCGGGCCGGTCCCACCGAGCTGCACTGCTCAACCCCACAGCTTCAGCAGGGGGAACGGAGACCAAAGAGACCACATGAAACCAATTATCCCAAAGTGCCTTACATCTCTCTGCAGGACATCTACGCTGTGCCCCTGGTGCTGTGGGCTCATGGTGGGACCGCCGAGCATCCCTCATGTTTTCTGCTAGCGTGTGCCTGCAGGAGCCATGCAGACTCCTGTAGCCTTGTAACCAAAGCTGTGCCACCAGCCGTGTACCAAGCACAATAAATACCTTTTGTAAACCAGCCTGCTGCCTCTGTGCCCCCCACAGCTCGCTCACAGACCGGAGCAGGGAGGAAAAGGCAGAGACGCAAACAGCTGTAAAGCAGCTGTTAGAGCCTGGGGCCTCTGCATAAGCTTTCCAGCCCTATTTGGTTTCTTTCATAGAGGCAGGGAGCACCCCCCCTAGCTGCACAGCTAGCGAGCAGACACATATTGTTCCCATTACAGGCAAGAAAAACACCGCAGCCCCAGTACAAGCACAAGGAGGACAATGCCCTGTGCAGAGTTTCGCTTTCATTTCATGGGATGCAATGCTTCCATCTGGCCCTTTCTGCATTCTGGAGGCAGCTCTCCCCACAGCCCATATCACCCTGTTGATGCTCTCCCTTCCATGCAGGCAGGGATGGGGCTGGCAGCTCAGTCCTTACACGCATGGCGTGGGGTCTGGGAGGAGGGCCACCACCCTGTTCAGTTGCCTTCCATGCCCATGGCAGTGTGTCCATGCGTTTGCAAAGGCGGATTTCCATTCCCCACATTTGTGTTTTAGGTTTGTTAACCAGAGGAGCTCCTGATCCAGCTTGCGCAGGCTCAGGCATGTCACAGAGGGTGGGAAGAGGATGGTGACCCTGGGGACATGTGGGGACAGAGCCAGACGCCCGCCTGCAGCCATACCAGGGCTGCGTGCAAAGCAGCGAGCTTGCAGGGGCAAGAAGTCGCAGCAAAAGCCTTAGTTCACCCTCAGGGCACCCCGATTATGCCAAAGGAAGGGAAAGAAAACAAAGAGTGAAGCCACCTCCTGTCATCTCTCAACTTGATCCCAGCCAAGACATCTCCAGGAAGCTGCAGGCTGTGTAAACAGATGCAGAGCGGCAGCTCCACCCATGGCCCCGAGCTGCAGAACACTGAAGGGATTTCTACTGCCTTTCCCTGAGCCCTTGCAGCCTGGAGGCTGTGTGGTGCAGCTCTGAGACCTCACACATGTGGGGCATCAGCAGTTCCTAGCATCATCAGTTCAAGGGCGGACTCCGACACCCTGTTGTTACCCAACCACTGAGTATGACCAAACCAAGGTCTTCTTGGGGCTTGGAGGAGAGATTTGATCATGTCTCTCCATAAAGTCAAGCAGATCCACCAGAACACCACTGTGACCATCCTGGTGTCCCCACTCTGGGTGTCCCCACGTGTGCCACAGCCTCACCAAGAGAGCAAGCACACCCCAAGTGTAGCAATGAGGTATACAATTTATTGTTCTTCCCCAGCTCGGCATGGCCCAAAGAGGCATGGTGCTGTTCTATGGGCTTGGGGTTGGCTGGTCCTTGAGAACAGCTGACTTTGAGAACAACAGGATGGCAGCATGGGAGGAAACAGCCCCAGTAGGGTAAACTGGAGGATGACAGCTATGGGAGCCCCAGACAAACTGTTCTGCAACCTCCCAGCCTAAAATGGAGCACATGAAATGGGAAAAATCCATGAGGATGATGGGGATGGTGATGGTGGAGGGGACCTCAGTGGCCTTATCTTAGAAATGACCCTAAAAGGACTTTTGGGATGGCTGAAGGGTCTAGCTTGGCTCACCAAGCCTCTGCTCCCAGCTCAGGCTTAGACTGGCATGCCTTGACTGTGTCATCACCTCTGCATCCCGCATGGACCCAGAGCTACAAACCAGTGCTGTCACTGCTGGAGAGGGACAGGAGTGCCCAACCTCCTCCCGTCATGGAAGGAAAGTCAACGGGAGGTGTGATGGGATAGGAGGGAAAAGGCGGGGGGTGGAGGTCAGGGCTTGGGGGGGCTGAGCTGGGCTCCGTTGGCTGTGGGATCACAGAGGGCAGTTTTTCTGCAGGCCATCAGCGAGGGGTTGTTGAGGAGCGTGTAGGCCAACCACCAGCGTGCCCGGCTCCGTTTCAATCGGCCTCCTCCCGATGGTGCCTTCTTGGTGTGCATCAGCTGGAGGCCTGGAAGGAGATGGCAGTGGGAAGCAAGTTCTGTATGCTGAAAGACCCTGGCCTGACTGTAGGAACTCACCTTCCTCTAAGTCCCCTGTCCGGGGCTCAGGTGGCCCCTGTGGCTTCACAGGCTGGAGGAGCAGCAGGCAGAAGGCTCTCATCAGTGGGTGTGACTGGCTGACCTCTGTCTTCAGGTAGTGGCAGTATGCGTGGTAGCCTGGGGGACAGCCCATAGGAAAAACACAGGTGGGTTCAGCGTGGTCCACAGCTGATTGATGAGCACAAGGAGCTGAACCCACCCTCGGTCCCAGCAGGTGATGGAGGAGCCCTAGATGCAAGCCCTGGGAACTGAAGTGGCCCCGTGCTGCTGGAGGTTCCCATTAGAGTTGATGGAGGTCCCCATGCCAGAGCTGCCCCTTGCCCTACCTGGGTCAAATGTCTCCACACCACGGTTCAGCAGGCTGATGTCCAACTGGCAGAAGTGGATGGTGTTGTAGAGGGCAGAGATAACCATCCTCCAGACCCCTGCCAGGATCCCCACCAGCACATTGATGGGAAACAGCAGATAAGTGACAATGTAGAGAGCTCGTCTGTGGATGAGAAAGGAGGGATAAGGAACACAAACAGCCTAGGACAGGGAACACAGCCCTTCCCTACCAGGGGAAGCTGCCAAAATAAACCTCCCACCCTTCTCTCCCTCCCTGGCCGACACCATCCCTGACTGAGACGGCTCCATCCCACAGAAAGATGTGAACGCCCTTCTGGTGTGTGGTCAGGACTTAAAGATTTGCCTCCAGCACAAGTAGAGTCTCCATTTCTCCTTAAAATGAGGCTGGGGTTTTCGGGTAGAGGACGCATGGCAGCCCAAAAGCCCACATCGCTAGGCAGCTCTGCCCCATAGAGCTCACATGCCCATACCTGTTGGTCAGCTCTTTCCGCAGGGGATGTTGCTCCAGGAACTGGTAGTGAGCAGCCACGTTCTGCACGATGACAGCCACCACCAGGGTCAGCCAGAAGGGCCTGGCCGGAAGAGAAGGTGATTCATAGAATCATTAAGAAGGACCCATAAAGTCATCGAGTCCACCATGCCTGTGACCGCTCCAGACCTCGTCACTCAGTGTGACATCTACCATTTTCCTCAGCACCTCCCAGGATGGTGACCCCACCACCTCCCTGGGCAGCCTGTGCCAATGCATTGCCACTCTTTCTGAGAATTATGCCCCAATACCCAACCCGAACCTCCCCTGGCGCAACTTGAGGCCATCACTTCATGAGGCCATCCTCCCAAAGGTTGGAAGACGGGAGGGGAGACCACCCCATAGCCCAAGCTGCAGCCTCCCCATGGCCAGTCACTCATTATGAGCTTGGCTGTGGCACGCAGCTGGGTTGTCCCGAGCCCTCACCACATGTTCTGCACGATTTTGAAGAGGTATGAGCTTGTGCCGGACTGCAGCGGGATGACAATAAGGAAGGTGAAGGCAGCAAAGCAGATGAAGAAAATCACTTGCTGGATGAGGAGACCTGGGAGGGAGGCAAGGGGGAAAGTAGCTGTCACGGGGAGGGGAGGAGAAATGGTCCTTGTTCTCCTTCCCACCCCTGCGCTTGTTTCTGAGCACGCCTTTCACTTTAATCCCATAATAAGCACGAGCCGTCCCTGCCTCCCCCGCTCCGCGCACAATGCTCCGTGCGGGATCTAATTACAAGTTCAGCCTCTCTTATCGCGCCCTGCTTTATCCCCACGGAGAGGAGCCATCTCCGGGGGCTGCGGCTGCGATGCCTCATCATAAAATCAGCCCGAGCTGTGATTTCTAATCATAAATCACGCCGAGAGCGGCGGCGGCTGCGGCTCCCCGCGCCATCGGATGCCGCGCTCCACCTTGAGTGCTCCGCTTTGCAGCTGGGAAACAGGGCTTTAAGGCATCGCGCCGGGCTGGATTTCTGTCCTATTTTACACCCCTTGGCACAGACTCTGGGAGGCGATGGCTGGGACCGAAGGAGACAGACAGGACTTCGCATGAGATGCCGTGGAACAAAATATCTGGGCTGGAGCCAAGGCGGCTCTCACTCCCCCCCCCCTCCTCCAGACCCCTCTTTTCTCCCACCATTTGGTCCTCCCCGCGGAAGGACAGATTGTGTTGAGGGAATAGATGAACAAAAGCCCCAGAGTTTTGCAAAATGGGGCCAAAAAAGGGGATTGGAGCTGCTTGAATATGAAGTTCCCCCTTGGAAATAGGGTTCACCACCTCCTCCCACCCCATAGGTTGGACTGGATGATCTTTTAGGTCTTTTCCAACCTTGGTGATTCTATGATTCTATAGCCCCCCCAAGAAACACATACCCAGGCAGGCAAAAGCTGTCTGGAAACTGGCAAAGCTCATCCAGCAGACAACAGCTTGTCGGGATGGGCGGAGGATGTGGGCTTTGTAGAAGACATCGAGCACAGCCCCTTGGTACAGTACCTTCAGGTTGCTCCTGCAGGGGAGAGAAGCCAATGCTGGATTGGGGGACAAGGACAGGGACACGGCATGGGTGATGGAGGGGGCCTATCTGTGGGGCCCTCCCTACCTGTGCATCACCAGCGTCCTCAGCAGCATGGCAAGGGTCAGCAAACAGCACAGCACCAGCGAGCACACGTAGCACACTGCAGGGAGAAGACAAGGAGCTGCTCTTTGTCCCTAAGGGAGCAGGGCTTTGTCCCTAAAGGGCTGCAGGCATTTTCCTGAGAGCATCACACAGCAATAGGTGCTGGTGCCACGTAGATGGATCCCCAAGCAATGCACCTTGCCTCAGTTTCCCTCCCCATCCCTTTTGCAATACGAGGGGAAACTTTTTTTATCCCCCAGGAAGGCAAGAGGATAATATTCCCCAAGCAAATTAGAAGGGGTATGATCACCAGGTTAGCTCCCTGCTGGAGCAACAAGCAAGTCATTCAGAGCCTGGTGGGATGCTGTGCAGCAGGAAGCAAAACAGGAGAAGGGGCTCTGCTTGGAAAGATGGAAATGGCAGGAAAACAAAGGTTAAGAGGATGAGAGAGGCTGGGCGACTCTGGAAAAGTCACCAAAATGCCCCATGGAGGGAGGGGGCACCCTGCCAGCCCCATGCAGAGCTTTCAGTTATCAGATGCCCACTCAGCAGCAGGGGCCGAGGAGCCATCTGCTCGATTCCAGCACATCTCCAAACCTGTCCAAGGAGCGGCATCTGCAGCGCGGTGCTTGGGCAGGCAGCAGCTGCTCGGGGAGCCCTGGCACGGCACCAAGCTCAGGCACGAGCTGTGTGTCTCCTCTTTCCAGGAGGACGGATCTGGGTTTGAGTCTTTCAAAACTTGGGGATGCCCCCCACCCACCTTCCAGCGACCACAGGTAGTGCTTGACGGTGCTGAGTTCCTTCTCCATGTCCCCCGGCATGCCTGGGTTTTCTGAGGGCACCAGCCCGAACTGCACCAGCAGCACCACCACGTCCTTTGTCATGCCTGCTCGCACGATTTGGATGGTGGGGACAAAGGCCACCAGCAGCAGCAGGGCCACCTACAAGGGAGCAATGCCGCGTGAGCCATTGCGTTGGCTTAAAGACTTAAGGGTGGCTGAGCCCAGTGAGCAAAGTGCCGGGGACCGAGGCTGAGCCAAGGGATGGTAATACCTTGAGGCACGCTAATACCATCCCCAAAGCCAAACTGCCCCGATGGCACATGGCAGTGGCCCCCTTGCCCTGTTGAGGACGTGGCTTCTGCACGCCACTGGGCCACCCCTGTCACCTGGTAGACAGCGATGACTGACGTGGTCATGGACAGAACGAGCTTCAGCGGGAGCTGGAAACCTGCAAATGGGAGAAACCAGCTGTGAACTGAGGTTTTCCTTCCTGCAAACCCCTAAAATCCTCGTGCTCCCACAGCAGCAGCCCTACTCCATCCTACATCCCTCCATGAGAGTCCCAGCCTCCAGTTCCTCCACCCCAAACTGCAACAGTTTGTGCGCGTGCCAAGAGGCAGCTGCCGTGGCACAGATGCTTTGGGGCTGGTGCCAAGGAAGGCATTTGCTATCCGTGGGGAAGGCAGACTGTTTGCTGAGCTTCTGCTGCACAAGGAGCGCGCCCTACCTTCCTCTGGAGCATAGATGTAGGAGCACAGATAGGCACGGAGCCGGGACAGGAAGCTCTCCTCTAGCTTTGGGGTGCTGTAGGAGGAAGGAGGTGGTGACAAGAGTGGCTTGTATTTTGTTTTACTGTTAAAACCAGGGCTACGGGGCTATTTCTGCCCCATTGATGCTGTCCCCATCCCCAGGCTGCCCTTACCTCCCCTTCTGCAGCCGCCTGGACAGCACAGCTTTGAGGTACTTCTTGTAATAGCCTCTCCCTGTAACCTTCACAAAGCAGCAGTAAGTCACCCGCTCCACCCCCAGCCAGCCCACAGTAGGGTCACTTCAGTCCATGCCGGGGCCAAGTGCTGTTTTTGAAGGTTTTCTCCTCTCCTTCACCCAACAAAGCCCAGCATTTCCAAAAGGGCTGAGGATTACTGCTGCCTGCTGGGAACACAAGGCGACCCCAGTCCGGCCTGAATGGGAACCATTGATGCCGTAAGCCTCTTGTACTAAGGAGTTTACTCCAAAGATGGATTTTCCCCTCTTCAAATCCACCAAGATAAACAGAGCTACAGCCCATGCATGCAATGTTGCCTTCAGAGGGCCAGCAAGCTGCTGGGAACCACACTGGGAACACTGGAACACCTCAATTCTAGCAGTCCCAAAATCACGTGGGATTCCCCTATGTTCCCACCACCTCATAGACCTTCATTACCTCCTTGTTTGAGCTCTCCTCCTTTCCTGTGAAGCTCCTGATCAGCAGGGCTGGGTACCACAGACTTAAGACCATGAGGCAGAGGATGATGGGGACATAAGAGAGTGTGGAGTAATACCTATATATCTGGAGACAAGCAGAGCTGTCACAGTTTGGACCCCACCAAGCCTGGGTCTCAACCTGAGCGCTGACATCTCAATGCCACCTCTTCAGGGAGGTGACAAAGCCACACCAGCCTGCCCTGATGGTGGGACGATGTGTACCTTTGGTGACTGGGGACAGTCCACCTTCTGCCAGACGTGGACCACACAGTGGCACCAGGAGAGCAGGCAGCCCAGCAGGTAGCTGGCCCTGTGCCCCACCGTGGCACAGGCAGCCAAGGGGTAGTAGAAGGCAGGGTAGTAGAGCAAAGCCAGGATCTTCCAGTACTCTGCATGGGAGGGGGAGCAGAGGGGACAGGAGCCCTCAGTAGGGACAAGGAATATGTTGCCCAGAGGGCTGCACGGCTCCACGAGGCTGGGATGGAGCCCGCCTTACCCCGGCTGTGCTGGGAGGAGTGGGTGATGAGCGGAAGAGGGTCGGCATCCAGCACCAGCACACACAGTGAGGAGAAGAGGATGCCAAACACCGCGGCCATCAGCCCTCTGTTGCCCTCCTCCTCCAGGAAGTTAGCTGGGCTGTGAGGTGGAAACGAGCCTGGCATCTCATCACTTGGCATATGGCAGCCTACAGCTGGCTTGTTCCATGCCAGCTGGGCAGGGTGATGGGGATGGCTGGGACAAGGTACCTGAGCAGCCCAGGGATGCCGTTCCAGCAGTCCCGGTGGAGACGCCTGCGTTTCACCAGCAAGGACAAGCCCAGCAGCACGGCCAGCTGCCAGGAGAGGGAAACCACGCTGACATTCCACACAGAACCATTTAGGAGCAGGTTGTGCACGGCCTGAACAAGGCAGGTGGCTCACCATCCCAGCGTGGGTACTTACGGAGATGGGTGCCATACAGGTGTGGTACAGCCTGGGGGAAACAGTAGGGTCGCAGTCTGGGACGGTACTGGGAAACATGCTGGAGAAAGGAGAAAAATAATGGGGGTTATACCGTGTCCTGAGAGAAGGACAGTGAGGTGATGTTCCATGCGTGCGCAGATGGCAGCAGCAGTGCAGAACCTTCAAGGAGCGTGGCCACACGGCCCTGATAGTGGGGCTGAGGTCACCCTGAGAGATGCGTTTTATGGTTCAGCTCCAGAGATAAGAGAGGGGAGCGGCCCTGCAGGCACCCATGCTCTCCCGGACCCTGTGCTCCCCTTTAGGATTTGTTCAGGCAGCAAAAGTCCCAACTTATCCCACCCTCCAAGGAAGGCCTTAAGGACAGGCTGCTGCCAGTAGAGCTCTGTGGTTTCTGCTTTCTCTCTCTGCTAACAGCTGTCCTTGGATAGACCAGACAGTTCCTGCTGTCCCCAAATATTGCAGCTCCGAGGGTAGCTCCAGCTCCAAAACAGCTGGGTTTCACCAGCACCAGATCCAGAGCTTTTGGGGTCTGCATGGGATCCAGCATCATCAGGGGACACTGCCATGCTGCCTGCATGCCCTCAGCACCAGGGGACACCGAGAAGGAAAGAGCCAAAACCCTGAAGTTTCCTATCAGGGCTGTGAGCACACAGGGGCTGGGCAAGGAGATTTCAGAGGTTGCACAACGCAGAAGATTAAGGACCCTGTGGCAATGGCCGGGCTTGTCTCCATCAAGCCCTCCTGCTTGGGATTAACATCAACAGAGGGACAAGAGGTGCTGATGGGTGCACCCAGGCCTGGTGGGACAGCTCAGGTAAACTGCTTGGAGAACGCTTTGTTACAGAGCGGATCGCCAGGATGATGGAACTCATAGTGCAGTGAGCTGCGTCCATCTGTGAGGACAAGAGGAGGAGGTGGCACCCGCCTGGGGACACGCAGCACTTACTCATCCTGCGGTGCAGCTGGCTCTGCCGTCTCGTAGATGTACCAGTCGGACACCAGGTCATCCCCAAAGCTGTCATCCAGCAGCGAGCCGTGCGCGGCCCCAGAGATGTTGGCTGCCATGAGCGCCTTCTTCTTACTGACCCAAGGGAGAGGCAGAGAGGTGGGCTTGGGGGAAGTCCTTTTGAGAATACAGGGCTGGAAGCAAGCAGCCCAGAGGCTTTATTCTGTCGGGGCACTCCCACCCATCCCCAGCTTCGCTGCTGGGATGCTGATAGAGCCTTTGTTTGGGTTGCTTCACAGTGGTTACGTGAAGGGCTGCAGAATCAGAGCAAGGGTCACGTTCAGGGGGTGTGGGTGAAGCGGGAAAGAAATGGGTGAGTGGCTCATGTCCCCTGTGTCCCTTTGCTACCAGGTGCTTGGAGCCCCAGCACCTGCCCCTGGCCAAAGCGAGCTCATCCCACAGCAGTAAGGGGTGGCTCGTCCTGGTGCCAAACACAAGGCTTTATTCCTGCTTCCCTCCGTTGTTTTCCCTTTTGCACAGCACTGATGACTTTGGCCCAACAGCCCCACACCCTCTCTCACTGTCCTGCAGCTCTGACTCAGCTCATGGCCATCATGAATAGTCTTCCTGTGCCCCAGGGACAACAAGCCCATAGTGGGGCAGGAAAGCACCCAAAGAGATGAAAGACACCCATCAGCAGATCTGAAGGAAGCCTGCCCTTCCCCAGGGGCTTCACCCCTAGTGAAGTATCCAACACTGTCCCCATGTGTCAGCCCAGGGCTCAGGGATGCCACCAAACCAACCATGAAGCTGAGAGCTGCTCCACGGGGACTCCTGACACACTGCCCATTGGCTCCAAAGGTGTGGATTGATATTCCCTTAGTGCTTCCCCTCCGCTCTGGGTGAGGGTCCCACTCCCCACGGGGGTCTTGGGTTGCCAGAGCCCACCCCAGAGTATCGACTCCCCCGCCATCCCTTGGTTTTGCCTGCATGGGCAAGCGGCTCTGACCTCATCACCCAGGAATGTAGCACTCCTAAAAGAGGTAGAAGGAGCCCATAAAGCACACAAACATCTCACAAGACCCAGGAGACTCTTTCCTCTCCTGGAGGATCCCTTCCTGCAGAGTGAAGGCGCTGCAGCCTTTGGGTGAAAGATCTCCCCCCAGATGGCCCAAATGGCCACTGCCCATGCCCCTCTCTCCACCCCACTGAGCCACCTCCGAGCTCATCCTCCCACCAGCAGGGTGACAGCAGCTATGACAGCAGCTCAGCCACCTTTGGTGACAAAAGGGTGCCAAGAGGAAGCAGCCTCAGAGGCGCTGCCACCATGGGATGGGCAAAGCTAAGCATGCCAAAATCCCACCCTGACAGCTCTCTTCTACCCGAAACCTGATCTCTTTGCTCCTCCACCTAACCCCTGCCCAAACAGGCTGGGCCTTTGATCGCCGCAGCATCGCAGGGATTGATGGCTTCAATAAAGCTCCTTCATATTCTTCATTTCCCACCATCCATCACTCTCCAGGGAGCTTTTGCATCCCACCGCTATGAATTAAACAGGGGGGGGGGGGGGGGGGAACCCAAAAGGGAATTCCCCCCCCAGCCCCCTTCCCTCCTCCTATCGGGGATAATGGCGATGCCTTGTGTACGGCTTTTAATAAAAATGATAAAGATCTCATTTCACAATTGTTCAGGGAGTGCTTGGGCCGGGGGGGAGTTGTTTAAGCGAGATCTCCTCTAATTCAATTGCTGAGTGAGAGCGACTGTGGAGGAGCTGCATGTCCCCATGGGGAGGTGGGTCCCGAGGACACCCAACGGGGACATCTGAGGAAGATGCTGGGTCCTACTGGGGGATTTAGCAGCTGCCAGAGCTGCTCCAAGACTTTAATCCTCTTTCTGGAATAGGGCGGCTTTTCCTCACTGCTTGTTTTCTATGAGTTTCCCAACTTGTGGAAACGGAGGGGTATGATGGATTGAAGGCTGGAGCCTGCGGGAAGCCCCCACTCAGCTCCCATGTCCGAGAAGTATGGGGTTGAGTCAGCCCTCTTTGAGGTCACTGAGGACACCCTGACACACATCCTCATCCTCCCTGGAAAGCCCCCACGGGGCAGGGAGAGGGCAGGGGGCTGCGCCAGCAGTGAGGCACAGATGGGGGTCTGCAGAGATGGTTTTCCATCCCAACACTCGGCACAAAGCCAGCCGCATGTAACAGGTCCCAAAATCCAACAGGTCCCAAATCCACTTCTGCTGACCCCCGCCACCCCAGTGGGACTCCCCAGCTCTGTGCACCCCTTTTATCCACGGGCTGACCCACCTTGGAGATCACCAGCATGCTCAACAACGACCCAAATTTTAGAAGCAAAGGCAGTTTAGCACAGAAGCAGGTCGGCCTTTTGGGGGTTATTTTTAAGCTCCTGCCCTTTTTTACTTTGAAACCCTGCAAGCACGGCAGCACCTGCTGCGCTCAGCTCCTGCAGGGAACAGCAGAGAGGAAAAGCTTTTGGGTTTGCAGCAAAGCACTCTGCAGCAGCACCTTGGGGGGGGGAAGGGAAGGGAGAATCAGGGCAAAGCCCCCAAAGCCCTGCTGATGAAATCTTGGCTTTAAGGCCACCAAAAGGGTTTGGTCTCCTTACGCAAACACTCACACACGAGCGCTCAGCTCGGACGGATTCACCCCCCACTTCAAACACCCAAACTTTACCAAAACAACAAAAGAGGAGCCCCCAAAGTTACCTGCTCCTGACCTGTGGCTCGGCTGGTGGACGGGCGCAGCTGTGCAGGGCTCAGAGCATCAGCACGGCGCGGCGGCAGCCATACGATCCCGCAGACAAAGTTCAGCGCACCGGCGAGGCGGCGGCAGCGTCGGGAACTTTATCCCCTCCATGGCGAGGAGGCCTTGGCTCGGGGCCACCCTGGGGTTTAGGAAATGAAAAGCAACCAACCCCGTGCCGCGCTCTCCCCTTTGATTACCCGGGGAGGGGAGGCACCAGAACCAACCTCCTTCATCCCCCAGCCTCCTTCATCCCCCCCCTGCCCCTGTGCTGGCGGCTTGGGGGGGGGCAATGAGAGCACAATGGGCCCCCGCGCCGTGCCAGCCCACCCAAGATGCTGCAGACATCCCTGTTTTCTGCAGGCGTCCTCCTGGGGGCTGCCCAAGGGCTGGACGCTGTGCAATACTGCTTTGTGTTGGGGCTGGAAACGGGTAGGATGAGGCAGCCTGGGATTGGGGTAAGGGTTGGGATGGATGGCCCCAGGTGCCACCAGCACGGGGTGACAGCCCCACAGCTCCCACCGGAACGTTTGTTGCATTCCAGCACAGCATTGAGGGGTTCCTGAACACCCCGCTTTGGAGAAGAGTGGGATTTGGGTCATCCCTTTCTTTCCTCCTCATCCAACCTGTGCTCCCCACCTTCCCCAGGAGCCACCAAGCTCACGGCACAGCAACTCACAGCACCCCAATAACCCCGGCACGTGACAAGGGAGCAAAGGGAAAATTAATCAGCGTGGAGGATTCTGCTTAATTTTTAGCCAAAGCCTCGTGGCCAGGCTCAAAGAGCTGAGAGTCCCCCCCTACACACCCTCAGGGTTGTTATGAGGAGTACCACGGGGGCTTGCCATGCCCCATGCACCTGTTCACTGTCCCTCCCCCACCATGTGCTGCTGTGGGATGATGGAAGCCGCACGTGCGCCTCTGGTGCAGCTGGGAAATGCTGCCTGAGTAAACTGTGCCTTGGGTGAAATTACGGGAAAATTGCTCTTTGATGGTGCTGCCATCATTAGAGGTGCCTTGGTAATGTGTTTGCACAAGGCAGGGAGGAAATTAGGCAGGCTGATTAGGGCAACAGGCAGAGATGTCTCATTTCCATGCCTTGTTGCTGCATTAAACCCTACCCAGCGCCTGTGACCCCCAAATCCTGCCCCATTCCCCCCCTTCCTCAGGATGCGCACTGCAACGCCTGCAGTGGGGTTGTATTGGGTGTCAGCACGACAAGCCCAAACCCCAGCATTTATTTTTTTTTCCCCTAAATGAAGAGAAAAAAAGTTAATATACAAAGGTACCTCCGAAGGGGTTCGTGGAGGCAGCCATTTGGGGTTGGCACCCCACAGGTGCCTGCTTTCCCATCAAATAAGCAAAACCTCCAGCCCCAGGGTCCCACGTACTGCTGAATCCCCTGCCCGCTCCCCAGAAGGATAACTGTGTTGTTTCAAGCTTGAAGAGCTGGAATGCAGTTTTTTTTGTATGGATGGACAGGCTGTCTAGGAGAAGGGCCATCTGCTGGCATGGCCCCGGCTCATGTTTCATTGGAAGCATCCCGAAGGCTGTGGGAAAGCACTATTTTCAACAGGGATCGGGGAATGTGATGTGACAGGGCTGGGGGCTCAGAGGGGCTGTTCCAGCTCCCTGCCACCACCCTGTGAGCTTGATCCCAAAATACCCCCAGTGGGCTGAGCACTTCTGTATGGGAAGAGCAGCCCTTGTGATGCTGAGCAGAAGGAGAGCAGCTTAGAGGGAAAGCATCTCCCCCAAATGCTCCCATCCTGTACCTGCAGAGAGCTTTCAGCCTTAAACTGCAGTCCAGACGCAAGTCTGGGCACCACTCATGCCTTGTTCTCACCCCATTCCCTTCCCTTGGATCACACAGCCCAATGGGGAGTCACTTCCACGCACAACCCCACTTCCCTTGGGTTTGAGCCAAGAGGCAGCCACACGTTTGGCACCCGAGTCTCATTGCTGTGGGGCCCAAGAATCGGGAGGAGCAGGATTGTCTCACAGGATCTGGTGGGTTCCCATTCATCTCTCCTAGGGTTTGCAGGGCAAAGGGCTGGAGGAGCACTCCATACCAGCACACCCAGCTCTGCTGTACAGCCAGCATCACCCTGGATATCCTGGGCTGTTTGCTGGAAGGCAGCCACCGCTTGGCAGTTACCTGGTTGCCTTACAAACAAACCAGAGCTCAGAGCTTCCGTCCTTGCACAGAGAGGGAAAGGAAAGCCCTCAGCATCTCTCCACAGCACCAAGGGCAAGGATTCTTCTTTCACTGCATCGCCTTTGAAAGCTGCCTGCCAAGATGTGAAGCCTACACATACCCAGGGGCACCCCCAGGCGTTTTTCTGCTGGAAA